TATATTGGCCTAATTCAGTACTTTATAACTCCTGCTCGCTTAGATATCATGTTCTAGGATTTGTTCTCTTTGAATGTTGTTTGAAGACGTGCATTTATGTAGTATATTTGAGGAGGTAACTGTGAGCCTCTAGTTTGCTTTATATGCAGTCCTAAAATACCTCCTAGAATTTTCTCCTGTTAAAACACCTTAGGGGTTGTCTAGAATTGCCCAGCTTTAGAGGTCCTAAAATACCTCCAGGACCACAAGGAAGGGATGGGTGGTGCACCCATAGGACATTGTCAAGGTTATTAGAACGCTTTAGGCTATGACCAAGGGGAGGGACTTGGGTAGAACGGGATATAATGACTACGCGCTAATGTCACATGTAGCCCCTCACTGGGGAGTGTTTACCGGGCATTGCGTGGGGTGATCCTGTAGGCTAACCAATCTAGTACCCCTCTTCCCAAATCCCCTTTGCTTAAAAACTTTACTTTTTATGCACACAACTTGTTCAAATTCTGTGTCTTATTATTTGAGTCATACAATGCCCAATATGCTTTAAGTTCGGCCGGGACCCACAGTTGTGGACCAAGAGGGGTGCCTAACACCTTCCCCTCAAGATTATTTGGAGCCCTTATCCTAAATCTCTGGTAATGCAAACCATTCCAAGAGTTAATCGCTCTAGGTGCCCTAACGNTTAGGCTCTTACCATACCAAACTTATCTTTTTATGAATTAGTCCAAGCATGCTTTATCCCGTACCCTTCTCCCTTATTTGAATTTAACTGTTCGTTTTCTTTTAAGCATTTATGGTTCTTTATCCCTGAAACTGACTTGTCTCTTTGTTTTCTTTTTCCTGTAACTGTCGTTCAATTATTTAAATATTGTATTTATTTTCCTACATGCAAATACTTGACTACGTGTTATTAATTGCTACATAAATCATACTCCACATCATATTCCACTCATGCGTATCAAATTTTATAGCAACGCTTAAATGAGTCGTTGCGTTCTTCCAATTTACCACCCTTAAATTTGGAAAGGATTATTTGCAGTAAAACCAGTCGATCAGTGGTGCAGTCGACGGTTCCGTGTCTTCCCCCTCAAGTTGTCCACTTGAGGGTACCAGTCTAAAACCCCATAGTAGCCTTACTCTGGTCAATATTGTGCACACATCATGGTCAAACCTAATCGGATCAATATGTTGTCCACATAATGATCCTTTAAGATAAGCCTTATCCAAAAGTCCATCGGGTTTTCCATAATCCCAACGGATACAATCATGTTCTATGCATTAATTTGGAGAACTAAATGACGATATGCTGATCGTAAATGTATAAATAGTCGAGTCTGGTGGGGGTAAGGCCTAACCCTTTTGTTTTGTAGAAAATGAGGCACGAGGTCCCCAGATTCGGTATGGTTAGCAACATCCCACCACTGCTGCTAGATTGGTGGGAGGACCTTTCCTCAAGTGACAAGAAACATGTGAGAAAGTACCTGGATAACTTGCCTTTCTTGCTGGATATTGAGCCAAACAACAAGTTGATCGAGGCTGCCACATTATTTTGGGATAGTGAAAGGGCTGTGTTTCGTTTTGGCGACATAGAAATGACACCGCTTCTAGAGAAAATTGGAGGGCTTGCGGGATTGACTTGGGATAGTCCCGGGCTATTGTTACCAGAAAACTGTACTGCAGGGGATTTTTAAAGATGATGGGGCTGAAGAAGAATGTCGACCTAGTATGCTTGAAGGAATCTTAAATACCTTTTGAATACCTATATGAGAAAGTATGGCTATAGCAAGTCTTTCTGTACCTACCATGATGAGATCTCTCTCACTTCTCTAGGTCACATCCACCGCATAGTGTTAGTATTCATTGTATGCTTCTTAGGCCTGATAGAGTTCCCAATGAAAAAGGGAAGAATCCATACTAGGTTGGCCATGGTCGCTAAGACTTTGATGGAAGGGATTAATGGACAGACATATGCCATAGTCCCCATGATCATAGCTGACATCTACAGGGCTCTGGAGTGCTGTCAAAGAGGGGTCAAGCATTTCGAGGGTTGTAACTTGTTGCTGCAGTTATGGTTGTTGGAGCATTTCTAAAAGGGTCACTATCGCCAAGAATTTCCGCGAAGGGTTTGGAACGACCATATTGCCTTCCATCACCCCAAGAGGATGACTTACATTCCAGATAGATTTGCTCACCCAGAAAGTGCCAAAGAATGGGTAGAGTTTTTCGACAATCTAACCATGGAACAGGTGCAATGGATGTTTGAATGGTTCTGAATAGACGAATTCATCATCAGATCCAGGGATGCTCCACACTTAGTGTTGATCAGGTTGAGAGGGATATACCCATATGTCCCTATACGAGTTATAAGGCAAGCAAGCAGAAAACAGGTTGTACTAAGGGTTGTCAAGATGAGTCAATTCAGGGCAGACTTTCAAGACGATGACGTCCCTTACAAGTGTCAAGCTCAGCACATGTGGCACTATAAAATCATTGTGAAGAAGAACACCATTGAGCCAGACAGGTATCATGCAGGGTGCGAGCCTCTCTACCTGGCATGGTTAGAGGATAATCTGAAAGGAATGGTGACACCAGGGGCCGGTCGAGGGAATAGAATCATAGATGAAGAAGCTGAAGCTCAAGTCAAATACAACCGGTTGCGCAAGAGGGTCCACGACTCTGAGAATGAACATCGGGAAATACATGAGAGGAATGTGAGATTAATCGAGGAATGGAAAGAAATGGCAGTTACTTCCAACAGGAAACTGGAATATCTGGAGCGAGGAATCATGGAGCTGGAAGGTAAAGTCATAAAGAGGATTGAAAATTGCCAGAACGCTGAAGGAGCTAAAGGAGGACATCTGGCTAGAGCCTACTTGCTGTTGGGGCTACATAAGCTAGGGGATCTATATGATGGAGTCCGGAAGATCGAATCTGGGGAAGGTCCTTATGGGACCAAATAGGCTAGACTTATTTGCTTTTTCCTAAAATGTAATAAGGCCAGATACCAGTAGCGGCTTATTTTTTATCATCTTAGTGTCGTTTTGGGATTTGTCTATTTTTATATTATCAAATAAAAAATTTATTAGAATTAAAAGTTTTCCAAATTTATTTGTCGCTAGGCCTACCTCGGGCACAACGAGGTTCCCAAAGTAGGGCACGAATTTATATTTCCGCAATATGTGTTTAAATACTGCAAACATTTCAGGATCCTCACTGACTTGTTACCTTTTGTTTTTGCTTATTTTTCATTATTCACATCCCCTAAAACCTATTTTCAAATGTAAGGCTCACGCGGCGATATAAGGAAAGATTGTGATTGAAAATGAGGAATGTGAATAAGAGGCGGTACCTCGGTTGTGATTCTTGATTATACGAGGCGGTACCTTGGTTTGTTTTCACTATACACGAGGCAATACCTCATTGTGTTTCTTGCTGTTTGTTTCATGTTTCAAAGCATTGCAGAAGGAATATTTCTTGTTGCTTCGATCTTTATTATTCTAGAAGTTGTAGTCCGTATAGGATCCTCGTAGCAATTTAGTTGCTTCTTTTATGTTATTTCTATTGTTAACTTACGGTACTAGTTCTTGCTATTATCTTATTCTATAACAGTTATTCTTCACTTTTCGTTACTTATCCGTACTACATTTTTATACTGTCTATTTCATATACTAATAGGTATCTTCACCTGGCCTCGTCACTACTTTACTGACATTAGGCTTGATACTTAATAGGTACTGTTGAGACCAAAAACACTCATGCTACTATACGTTGTCGTCAAGTAATAGAGTAGTGAGTAGAGTATCGTTCCCACGAATACTTATTATTAACTTTTGGCTGGGTCAAACTCCAACAGCTTATCGATTCAAGAGATTTCTCACAAAATATGTAATTGACTAATTTACTACCTAAAAATTATCGTGCAACGAAATAACTAAAAATCAACCACAACACTTATGTAATTTCGGATAATAATCAGTAGGAGAGGATATTCCAGGATCATAGGCTAGTTAACAATAATGTTGCATTCTTGGCTTAAATGACTAATTGGTTTATCTGGATTATTGATTGGCATGGTTGATATTACTCATAAAAATATGTCGAGTTCTTACCTGCCTATTCAAGCTAACTTAATGCCTACATGTCTATGGAATTAAGATTAACAAGAATGCATTTATACTTCCTGTATTTCAACCAAGCAAGGCAATTAGGTATATTTCTATTCTAATTGCGAATCTGTTCCCCGATCTCCGGGTTCAAGAACTTGCTCTATTTAAATCTATATGCAATCTAGAATTCTCACTTTCTAGTTCGACTCTAGATTTGTAGATAGTATTTCATTGTTAGCTACTCAGCAAAATAATTAAAAACAGAAATAAATAAACAACCCAATATGATAAACCCCAACTCATCAAATTAAACTTCAAACATCACATTCATGTGGCACCCATGACCCCAGAATATTAGGGTTTTGAGACACTCATGTTCATACAATCATAAAAAATAATGTTTTTTTTTACATAAAATCAATGAATACTAGAAAAAAAAAATAGAAGAATTGATCAAATCCGTGCTCCCGAGTGTTCCGTACTTTTCTTTTCTTCTCAAAGTTTCGTACTCACCTCAAAGTCATGTTTTTGGTGTATTTATACCGTGTAGAAACTAACCAGGATGAAGATACCCTTTCCAAGCCGAAGTAGGAAACTACTCTGCGATTTTTTTTAATTATTTAAAATTGTCGCGTCGCTGGGTACGGCGCACCACATCAGAGATCCATTTGGCTTGGCGCGGCACCGCATGCGGCATGCTAGGCCATTTTTCACAAATTCCACCTCGTTTTCGATATTTAGCTCACGAGTTGCACCTCGACTCTATTATGTACTTATTTTATGTCCAATTCATGCTTGTACCTGCCAAACACGTCCCACAACTCCTGAACTCTAATAATCGTAAATTACAATTATCTAAAATATTCTAAAAAAAAAAAGAAAAAAAGGTTAGAAGCATTAATAATTGGTTTGTCTTCCAACAAGCGTCTGATTTAACGTCGCGGCATGACTCAACACGTTTTCAAGCATCGGCCAAGTCCACGTATTGCGACGTGCAATGTCACCACCCCAATAATGTTTTATTCTATGCCCATTTACCAAGAAGGTACCACATGAGCTCGTATCACGCAATTCCACTGCTCCATGAAGCCTCACACTTACCACAATGAAAAGACCTGACCATCGAGAATTAATCTTTCCGGGGAAAAGCTTCAACCTCGAATTTAACAAGAGAACTTCTTTACCTAGCTCAAACTCGCGATGTTGGATGTGCTTTTCATGCCACCTCTTGGTCTTTTCTTTATACAATTTGACATTTTCATACGCATGCAATCGAAACTCATCAAGCCCATTAAGTTGTAGCAATCTTTTTTCACCGGCTATGTCCATATCCATATTTAACTTTTTAATTGCCCAATAGGCTTTGTGTTCAAGTTTGACGGGCAAGTGGCATACCTTCCCATAAACCAACTTATACGGAGAAGTACCTATATATGGAGGTCTTGTATGCAGTTCGATATGCCCCCATAATGTGTCGTCCAGCTTTCCGACCCAGTCCTTCCTATTTTTATTTACTATTTTCTCCAGAATCTGCTTCACCTCTCTGTCTGACACTTCCACTTGACCACTCATTTGGGGGTGATAAGCGGTGGCAACCTTGTGCTTAACTCCATACTTGGCTAGAACTTTATTCAACAATTTTCTATAGAAGTGAGTTCCTTTATCACTTATACCGTGTAGAAACAAACATGGACGAAGATACCCTTTCAAAGCCGAAGTAGGAAACTACTCTGCGATAGGGGTGGGCATAATACCGGCTGAACCGAAAAAACTGGTCGAATCGTAAATTCCAATTTTCAATATCAGTTTAATCAGTTATTCGGTCGGTGTACGATTTATAAATTAGTAAATTTTGGTATTCAGTGCAGTTAACGTTTTTAGCGTTTCGGTTTTTGATTAAACCGAAAAAACCGAAGTTTGCAGCGTACAATACAACCGAAGGGATAGTTATTAGTTAGGTGTTGGTTTGTCGGGGGAATTCTTCATTCTTTGCCTCCCCATTTTTGTGACTCTCTTTTCTATAGCAGAGTGTGCGATTTTTGTACACTCGTGCCGCGCTTGTGGGGATCATCAGCGGGCATGTATTTTTTCCTATCAGGCACATTTTACACTGTCGCATCGTGCCCTGCGGCGCCCCATGCGGCACGATAGTGTTATTTTCATAAAGTAAAATTGTTTCATCCTCTTTAGACATCCAGACTTGGTACACGACCTTCGAACACGATCTCGGCTTAACTTATTGGACTTTTACTTAGACTTCAAAGCTCAAAATTGATCGATTCAGCTCTGAATTAACCTTTTGGCTCGAAATCACTTCCTTTAAGGCATAAAACACATACTAAGTGTAATTTACTATTATTTAAGCACAAACACATGTAAAATGCAGTAATTAGAGTGCAATACTACGGCTAAAATATGAGTTTCTAGCCTACCATCAGGTACCATTGTGTTGTACTCATACTATGCTTCTGCACATATTTTTTGTGCAGATTCAGGTATGTCAGCTCGTGCCGATCGATAGAGATTTCTTGCTTGCTGCTTTTACCGGAGACTTCAAGGTATGCCTGCTCGGCGTCTGCAGGCTCGGAGTCTCCTTCCCTTATTCTCGGTTACTGTTGTATTTTCTCGCAAACAGTGATGTATCAAATGTTTTAGTTATTCCATAGTGCTTATGACTCTATTCCACAGTTCTTGGGGATTGTATGGTTGAGACTTTGCTTTTAGTAGTTATATGAGTTATTCAAACTGGGTGGAGTATTTTGTTATTTACATCTGTTTAATTGTTGTTAAATATTAGGCTTACCTAATCGTAGAGATAAAGGGCAAGAAAAAAAGAAGATAAATATTTAGAAATCTCAATATAGGATTGCATAAAAGCATGATAGATAACCACTTTGCGGTAACCCAAATAGAGGAGAAGTTTTATTTTGTGTCTCATACAATTGACACTAGTTGTATGAGACTCCTTTTTGTCTGACAAATTTGTGGACCTCAATCTTATATTTCTGGGTCCACAGAAATCTGAGTCCACAAAGCTGTGAAACAAAAAAGTTGTCTTATACAACTAGTATCAATTGCATGAGACGCAAAATTAAGAAGGATTTTCAGAATATTCCCTAATGAGTACCCTAGGGATTAATGTAGTCAATCAGTCAGAATTACATATTGAAAGATTGTAGGAATACTTGTTTTTGCAATTCTTTATTAGAGAAAAAAACAGAAATAAAAAAGACACGTTCTGATGACTGAGGTATGTGTGAACAGCCCGGACTTGTGTGCATGTGTATTATTGCTGCAGATGATGCATAGTACAATTTGATATAATAATAATAACAATAATAAATCACGAGTTTTAAAGAAGGAAATTAGAAATTTATTTCTCAATATAGTTGGCTGATGAAGAAGGTAAAAATGAAGTATTGGATACTAATGATAGTTAGATTTTGGCATAAGGGATATCTACAAAAAATAACAGCCATTTTAACTCCATGGGGCAAGAAAAAAATTCACAGGTATGGTCTTGATGGGAAATAAGCCAAAAATGTGGGATCATCCTTATAATGTCCCAACTACCAAATTTGTTCAACATTTCTATCCATTTTGAGGACAGTTAGAACAAAATAAAATTCAAAGGATTTAGTGACAGTTAGAACAAAATAAAATTCAAAGGATTTAGTTAGACTCAACCTAACAAGTTTCTTTCTTGTATCCATTAAGGTATGTGAGATCAATTAGAATGAAATTTGATCTCAGGATATTTCAAGTTTATGAAATGAATTCAACTTTCCTTCGTATGTGAAAGTATTGTTTTTAATTACTTCATTTACACTTTAATCTTTACAATTTGTAATTTATGATTGACAAAACAAAAATAAGAAAAAGAAGAACCTAGTTTAGATATATAAATATTATGCGACACTCAATGAGTCAAAAACTCAAAATAATGAATTTAAAGTAAAGGTCACTAGACAAATGTAAAAAAAAAAAATATTGTCACATCGACTCAATGTGACAATATGAAATCAATTTGAATCCTTGGAGATTGTACGAAAACATTACCCTATGACATGTTATTTTTGATGGGTCCACATTGCAAGTTACAATAAATATTAGCGTAAATTAAAGATTAGCCTTAACCCCTTTATGAATGACTGGATCACAAGGAAAATATGCTTAATTAACAGAATTGCTTATTAAAGTATCATGTTGGAGGAGAAGGTGAGCTAATCCATCATGACTATGTCTCATAAACCTTCATTATTCTAAACTGTCATTAATTATGCTGAGTAAGCATGATTAGGTACTTACCTTGCATATAAGTATGTTAGTAGTACATTTTTGGAAATCATTCCGTTAAAGCTACCTCTGCTGTAAAACTCCTTTATGGTTTTCGCTAATTAATGCATGTGTCGTCGTTTTCTTTTCTTTATAATTAGAAGTGGACTTAGTTATAACACATAGTTATTGTCAGATACCTACCAAAGTGTTGTTTATGCGTAAAGCAAAATGCATCTTTGAAAGCAATCTTCGTTTCCTTCTCGTTTTTTCCTACTATTTAATCACAATACATATTGCAATATTTTGTACATCCTATCTGTGCAATGAACTCTGCAACAAAAAAAGGAATTGCAGTTTACTTACCTCCCAAACCCCCAAACTGGAAAAAGAAACTTAATAATGAAAGTGAAACAAACAAAAACACTCACTTCATATATACTTACAAGTGGATACATTTTGTATACAACTAGATAACTCTGCCTTCCAAAATAATAAACAAACCTCATATGATGAAATGATGCAAAAGAAAAAGGATAAAGAAAAAGGAAGTTACTTACCCATCTATTCTTTACCCCCTAAAAATTCAAAAAATATAGAGTATTTTTTTTTTACTCCTAATTGTCTACAACTATAAAAATAAAAAAGACTTTTTGAGTACCTGACACTGGAGTCTTTGTTGGACCTCTCCAGCTTTGCAAGCCAGGCATTCTTTTCCCTTTGACAGCATGCAAAAGACTGGGTGGCTTCACCCTATACCTAGTCTACAAGCACATATATTCATCATCCCCCCTTTTGCCCAAAAAAGGTGGAGATTTTGACCCAACCCCACAAAAAACTGTTGGATTAACTTTTCAAAAATGGCATTAACCATTTCCAGGAGCTTCCCTCTCAATTAAGGGATTTCCTTTTGCTGAATTGTTTTCACCATGACTTCACATTTTTATCAGCTATTCGTAGATTGATCAATTGTCTCATCGATTTTTATTTTTTTCAAAGCAAAATAGCTGCCAGTATACTCCGAGATCATTCTCTGAAATTGGCAAAAAGAAAAAAAATGATTAAGTTAGACAATCTGGTAGAAATATATGATATTATTGAATCAAAGAGAAAATATAATTACCAAGTTATCTTCTTTGGCATGGTAATGGGACAAGAACTTGACTATAGTATGGTACCATCACTCAAGCTTCTTGCACGAAGCTCAACGTTCCTTAGATCACGAAGATGTTGTAGGATTTCCTGAAGAAGATCCATGCCTTTATCGCCTTTCTTCAACGAGCTTACACAGCTCTTTAGGAACTCCCTATCTGCCTCAAGGGCTTGTAGCCTTTCATGGAGATGATCCAACTCTTCTTCCACAGCTAGCTTCTTGTTCTCTAAATCAAAGTCATGAACCCCATTTAGTGTAGCATCTCCATTTTCATCACTCATTGAGTCAAATAGAGGAAGAAGTCTCTTTCCCTTGGCATTCACAATTCTTCTCTCATGAATATGATGATGTTTCCCATTAATTTCCTTCAAGTAACCATTGGCATGAGAATCTTCCTCTATATGGTTTCTATTATCTTGATATGAATCTTCCATCAGCCTAACATCCTCAAAATGTTTTGCATCTTCACCATCCAAGCTGACAAGTCTTTCCTCCAAAACCTTTAGCTGCTCAAGAATCGCCATTCTCTCTTCCTCGAAATCAGCCAATGATTCCTCCAAATTTATAACTGCACCAACAGGAGTGTTATGATTCATGCCTTGTTGGTGACAAAAAAAGCTATCATCTTCCTTTGCTTCTGGATTCAAATCAATAGAGAGTCCATCACTATCCTCAGAGGAGAATGTGCTACTGTCCTTGCTTCTCTTCAACATCCTCATCTTCTCCTTTGCCTCATATTCCAATAATTTTTTCCTATATGCTTCCAATTCTTTCTCTAACTCTTGCTTTTCCCTCTCCCTCTTCACCATAAGCTCATTCATTAGCTGCAAGGCTTCTTGATCGTACTCCGATTGTTCTTCCATCATTCTTTGGTATTGCAAAGCTTCCATCTGCATTGCTGCTTTCTCTTCTTGAAGCCTATTGATCATAGCCATTGTCTGACTTGCAGCCACAGCAGAAGCACTTCTCTCTTCTTCCAATTCTGTGTACAGAGAATGTACAGCCTTCCTCTCAGATTTTAATGCTGATTTCAGATGTTCGACTGTTGAAATTGTATCTCCACTCTCTAACTCGCTAACCACACTTCCATCCAGAGAATCTGAATCTTTCTTCTCAACAAGTAGATATTTCTGATGGAAGCTAT